AAAATATCCCTATGACCGGAAACTCAGTGCAGAATAATGTTAAACTGCGTCGACATTTACTTTAGAGATGTGAATCAGTCAAAAACTGTTCTGGATGAAAAATTAAATTGAAATTAGAATCTTTAAAACAGCTTGTTCGTCGGATAGAATGCATGCATTTCTATTCATTGCGTTATATACTTCCAGACAAGCTGTAGCTTCTTTAGTACCGATTATTCTGTTTGAAAAACACTGCATTGATCATAAAGCTTATATTACATATAAGATTTTTTTCAGCACCTCAGAAAAAACTGCTTACATGACTATCTAGTTTTGAGTCGTCAGTATATATGGTTACATTCTCTACCATTGACAGACCTTCCGATAACCAAGTCTCTATTTGAAAAATCGACATTAAGTGTCCTGTTGAAATTGAGAATGGGAAGGATAAGTCAATGTCTCTAAGATTGGGACTGAAGATATTTAGAATAATGTTTTGGCCAGAATCAGTAGGTTTTAACTGTGAAGTAGGTTTAAGTCTAAGAAGAGAGGATGCCGCCATTTTCTTACTTATAAGATCAAGTAAAGCATTTGGTCTAATGTAATGGATGAAATTGTACTCAATACACCTTTAATAAAGAGTTAAGCCCTAAGCCGCATCCTGTAGAGTGCCATACAGTATGAAGGTTTAACCAAGCCCATCCACTATACTATGACGCTATACAGAAATGTAGGTCTTATATTGCTTATTGTTACATAACACCTTATGATTATAATCTAATTAGAGTTAAAAGAATAGATAAGTTCTTCATTAGATCAGCCATTAAATCGGTAATTACATATGGTATGTCAAGCTATTGCTTAGATCGAAACTATTGTTTTCTAGTTTTTAAGGAAATTGATTTTAAAAAAAGTGATTGCTCTTTTTTTTTTAGCACAAAAAAATTAAAAATTAGTTGATAACATATTCCTATCTTAAAAATTTTACCGAAGGAAATACTTAAAGGGTGGGTTCATTCAGATAAATGACATTTGGTCACTTTACCGATTTTTGAGTTATTGAGCTATGTCTATATGTTTCTATTATTATTAAAATAAAATAAAACTTAATGAAAATTTTACTTCTACACTATATTGATTAAATTTTTTCGACGGTAAGAGCATGGTATATATTTGGAATATTACGTTGTTAATGACTTAATTATCATAAAATATTTTCAATATCAAAAGTTTTTCAATCACACTAGCCTTGTAGGGTACTACAATTCTTCGATTAAATCTTCTGCAGTTTGAAAGAAATTAACTAAGCAGCTTAAATAGTTTATGTTTAAATAAGCTAGTTAGTTACCTAACTTATACCTAAATGGCAAAAAATATGAAATAGTTAATTAAGATTAAGATAACATTTAGAGGTACCTAGGTTAACGTCTGCTTTTACAGGGTACTAAACCATAGGTAGTAACTTCTCAACGCGTGTCTACCAGTTCTCGAAGAAAGCACATCATAACACCTGGTGTGGCTATGTCCAGTCTTGACTAGAACTATGCTCAGCGATATCTCCAGCATTAGTATTGGCCAGACTCTTGCCTTTATAAATGCTTTTGGCTGATTCTAGCTTGACCTTCTTCTACCCATTATTACGAAGATTTGTGGATTCAAAACGGCTTTGTTAATTAACTGAGGACGATTCGTTTCTCCCTCCACTTCGACTAACTAACCAACTAAGTTTATCTTAAAAAAGCTTAAAATATAGATAATTGAATCCAACAAAGAAAAAAGACTCTTTTCAATGACAAAAACTTTATTATTGGTTATAACTAATTAATTTTATTTAGATTATTCATTCCCTTTTAAATGAGTATAGTTTTATTTAAAATTTTCTGTTGTTACTTTGGGGTAATATTTGTACCCCTAAGCTTTAGTATACTGTAATCTTATGTGCTTAAACTGAACTGACCTAAAACTAATACTTTGCTAATATCCTTTTGTACAATATTTAGAGAAATACTTATTCCTAATGGTATTGATTTCCCTTTGTGTTTAAATGCTCAAAAAAAAATTGCAGTTTAGATACAAAACTTTTTAGTTATGAATATTTTCTGTATATCATGGTTTATTGCCTTTATTTTATGATTCCACGTATGTTATTTTGATGATTTTTTTAAAAAGGTTTAAAATATAAGATGAACCTCCTTTTCTTGTGCTTCTTCTTCGCTTAATCTTTATATCCTATTAACTACCAAACAGAGCTTATTTTTCAAAATGAAATGAAAATTCATTATGATATATATTATATAAAAAAAATTAATATTCCCAAAATCTGTGGTGCTACTTTATAACAATGGCACCAACTTGTGTGTATGGAATTTGTATGTTTTGCAATGAAATAATTGAAATACTTTATATTCGGAGAATGCTCATTACACAACCCTTCAAGGAATTGTGCTGTAACCACACCACGCGAATGAGTAAATAAACAAGCCTTGCATGGCGAGAGCGTTATTGCAGCGCCTGCAGTGCAATGTGCAGCTATGTAAACTGCAGTTGCACAACACACTGCGGCATATTACGTATAAAGACTTATTTTCGGAAACAATTTTAATGAAATACTTTCCAGGCAATAGAGACGTATAAGTACGTATGCAGAAGAATTAAAAAAATTTAATAAAAACTCAAATATTTTGTAGCTTAAATGCTTCGCATAATGCATGCCTTGCACACTTTCTACGTGTTTGACTTTGAATTAATTATAAACATCATATACTTGTGTTTGAGTCTCTAAGTAGAGGAAGTAGGGATAATCGGGAACAGAGTTGACTTACCTTTGAAGCAGCATTTTTTACTGCGTACTGCATAAATGCAGAGGCAGATTAAAATCAAAATGGCGGCAAGGCAACCACCGGCAATGCCCAGCAAATAACTCATCTCCAAAGGTTCTGCATGTAAGTGCGGAGCGCGCGATTATGTTGCAATTGTTCAATAAGAATATTTAAAGTATCCGCGATTGATTAAATATGTTGTTGTTGTTGTTGTTGTAAAAAGCGCATTTTCCAGAATAGTTGAAATTTTTGTAGTTTCAGGATGTATGGAATTCAATCAGAAGTTTGATTAAAATTTTTCGTCAACAGTTAAAATTTCACATATAATTTACGCAGACATGTAAAGCAGAAAGATTTAAATAATATTAAAATTACAACATTTTTTTTTGTGAAATTAAAAGATTAATTTATGCATGCAAAGCCTCTTTACTTTGTTATTTAATTTTGTGAATTTCTCACATAATTTTCAAATTACACAATTACACATATACTTGCCTACAACAAATACAATAGCATTAAGTGCATTACTTTAATTTAAATAAATATAACATTTTAATTTTTATTGCATTAATAATTAAGTCACGTTTAATTTTAATATTCTCTTTTTTTTATTTTTTT